ACCCTTCAGGGCAAACCAGCCGGCCCCCACCCATGCACCAGGCCTCTATCCTATATAGTAAAAGTGTAATATGCAAACTGACCCTAACAGCAGAAAGACTGGGAATGACTGGTCACTATGACACACTGACCACCAGGGGGCAGACACTCAATGCAGGAGCTGCCCTCTGGTGGTCAGTGCGCTCTCACAGGGGGAGCTCTGCTCAGCCACAAGCCAGGCTGATGGCTGCCAGTACAGCGGTGGTGGTGGGAGCCTCTCCTGCCTCCTCAGCAGCGCTAAGGATGTCCGACTGCAGCTTAGGTCTGACCCCGCTGGCAAGTGGACATCCCCCGAGGGCTGCCAGGCTGCTAGAGGGATGTCTGATTGCCATCTTAGGCCCAATCCCCCGGGGCGCAGGCCTAAGCCAGCAAGTGGTCATCCCCCGAGGGGTCCCAGACTGCGAGAGGGCACAGGCTGGGCTGAGGGACCGCCCCCCCACTGAGTGCACAAATTTTTGTGCACCAGGCCTCTAGTTGGTATATAATAGGCACTCAAATATAAATTAATGAAGCAATATCCTAAATTAATTCTCTATTCTCTGGCTTTATTTCCTCAACACCTGTTATTTAAACAACTCGTCTCTTCACCTAGTGAAACTTTCTCAGCATTTCTCTAGAGCGGCAAGGCAGTATGGGGTGGTTAGGAGTGCTGGCTCTAGGACCAGACTGCCTGGGTTTGAATCTTGACTCCCCCACTCCCTTGCTCTGGAAACTTGGGCAAAATTACTTAATGTCATTGTAGCTTAATTATTTCCTTTGTAGAATGGGGACAGTTGTGTGGATTCAATGATTTAATATATGTGAACACTTAGCACAGAACATGGAAAACACAAGCACTCAAATGTTAGGTGGTGTCATTATTATTATTGGACTTGGTCTATACTACAATTCTAACATTGCTGACAATATCGATGACTTTTGAAAACTACATTAGGAGTAGATGAGTGTATATCTTAAACCTTCAATTTCTACTTGAAGTCTTATGAAATTGAAATGAAGATGGTAAAACTTAAGCAATTTTTTTTAATCAGTAGACATTAAAATTCTTTGTTCTTTCACAGCTTGCCCAGAGACAAATTCAGAAAATTCTTACTTGAGAAAAAAAAATACTTCAGCAGAAGATGGAAAAAATAGCTTCAGCCAAGATGAAAGTAAAACCTCAAAAATTGTTCATCACAGGCTGTTTGACCATATAAGTCACAAGGTTATAGCAGTATTCAAATTAGATTAAGTTATGGAACATGCTTTGTAGACATAAAGTGATTATTAATTTATTTTGTAAATACAACATATTTTTATGAGACCATGTTAATAAAGTTGGGTGTCTAATAGGCATCTCACATTTTACATGGTTGAAACCTAACTCCTATTCCTTCTTCCATCCTCAGCCCATCCCTCTCTATCTTAGTATTCGGCAATACCCTTTAATCAGTGCTCCAGTTCCAAATCTGAGTCACATTTAACTCTTTTTTCCCCTACTCACCACAACCACTCATCAACACTTCTTATTGGCTCAAGGTTAAAATTTTGAACACTTCTTGCCACTCCCATAACTACCATTGTAGTCCAAGTCTCCATAATCTCTCACCTTACCAACTATAACATTCAAAACCAGCCTCATTGTGTCTAGTTTTATCGATTATAGTCTAAATTTCCCCACAGCCACTAGTATGATTATTTTTTAAGGTTGAATCCTATCATATTACCCCCCTACTCAAAATTCTCCAATGGCATTCCCTCCATTGGAAGTTGGATTTTATATTCATTTCCTGGATAATGAATCTGAAGTACATCCCCCATGCACTTCTCCAATCTCATATACGAACACACTTCCCCTACCTCACTCTGTTCTAAACACAGTGGTCTTGTTGCTGTTCTTTGAACACATCAAATAACACTGCCCTTCAAAGCCTTTTTCCCTTACAGCATCCTTTGCCTATAATATTCTTCATTCAAATATTTGAATGGCAACTTCCTTTCTTCATTCAGACCTCTGCCCTAATTTCCCTTTCTCAGAGGACTTCCTTGAACACTTTACCTAAAATAGAACTGACATCAGTCTTTATTCCCCTACACTATGCCATTTTTCCTCATAGCACTTGTCACTACATGATCTATTCTGGAGGGAGAGAAAATAAAAATGCAAGCTTCATGAGCATAGGGACTTGGAAATTTTGTTCCCCACTGAATCCCCAGCACCTAAAAAGCTTGGCACATGCTCAATATATGTTTCCTTAATTAAAAAAAATAATTTTAGCCCTAGCCAGTTTGGTTCAGTGGATAGTGCACGGCCTGCAGACCAAAGGAGCCTGGGTTTGATTCTGGTCAAGGGCACATACCTTGGTTGCAGGTTCCTCCCCAGGCCCGGCCCTGGTTGGGGCACATGCAGGAGGCAATCACATGAATGCTTCTCTCTGTCTTTCCCTCTCTCTTCCACTCTCCCTAAAAATCAATGGAAAAATATACTCAGGTGAGGATTAACACACAAAAAAATATTTTATTTCACACTTTTATTTAAATAAAAATATTTTATTTCACACTTTTGGAGTGTGAAAGAATCAAGCATTATATTTAATATGGATATCTCTTCTGACAAAACATAAAGATTTTAATATATCTTTTTTTTTGCTTCAATCATATTTGCCTTTCCTGTCAAGAGATAAAATTTATAACTAATTCAAATTATCTTTCTATTACCCAAATATCTAATCATAAAGCCCCTTTAAAAGAATTTATAGCCTAAGCAACCGTTATGGCGGAACGACCAGAACGACTGGTTGCTATGATGCGCACTGACCACCAGGGAGCAGGCGATCAATGCAGGAGCTGCCCCCTAGTGGTCAGTGCGCTCCCACAGAAGCTGGGCTCATGGCTGGCCAGCGCAACAGCGGTGGCAGGAGCCTTTCCCGACTCCATAGCAAGACTAAGGAACAGCAAGCTGAGCAGTAAGGAGCAAGCAGGCGGACATCTCTTGAAGGGTCCTGGACTGTGAGAGGGCATAGGCCGGGCTGAGGGATGCCCCCCCCCCCACACACACACACACACACACACACACAGTGCACAAATTTCATGCACCAGGCATCTAGTAACTAAATAAAATGTGCAAAACTTGCTTAATATTTTGAAGAAAGAAATAACTTAGGGTCAAAAATTAGTTCGTGTGATTTATTTTTAAAAAGATGGAAATATTATGTTTACAATTTACCTATTTTTTTGGCTATTGTAAAACAACATATAAATGAAGAACCTTTATATGAGCAAAATATT